GTACTTGGCGGGAAACCGAAAAGCAGCATTGTGCGCGGCAACGCAAGCACCATGAGCAGCGAAATAAGATGGTAAATACCGAGTGTTTTATCGACACTGTCGATTTGGAGTTCTTATAAAGATGGGTCGAACGTAGAGTTCGAAAATCAAACGACACAGTCGGGCGCAGCATCCAGCTAGTATGGCCGCAACACAGCCGCGGCCATACTAGCCGGATGCTGCGCCCGATTCAAACTGTCGCTTTTGGAAATTAGTCCATAATCGTCATTCTTTTAATCTTGGCATGGCAACATCATTTGGTTTTTTTTGATTATTGGCTATGAAGAAGGCGAGAATGACGAGGCGTGCTATTAGTGAAGCTTGATCAATTTGGAGACGCTTCAGGATATACAGAAACGACGCCATTGTTTTTTATTATGTGCTTTTTCAGCAAAATCGTGGTTTTCAACATAGCCGCCGATACCATGGTCAATCCACAACAACTGGCAGTATAACGAAGGATGAGCAAGAGCACTTTGTCAAGAGAGAAAAAGAAGAGACAGTTCCACATCTATGTTTGCAACCAGTTCTCTCTCAGCTTCAAGCGCTCAAAATCGGAGATACCGGTGCGCTGACAACAACTATGAACTTTCGTTTAGCATCTTTTGCATCATCACTCACAAAAACCACGAACTGGTCGCAAAAATCGATTAAGAGGACTCATGTCCTTTTAGTGCTCAAACATTTTTTTTTCAGTTGCAACACTCGAGAAAAACACGCAAACGCACATTTGTTCTTCCTGGACACAGATGTCCATTCTGAATAAAGAAATCAGCAGGGCAATCCGGTGTGTCGCCGTTGCAGTACTCTGGCCAAATCGCAAATGCCGATCGGGGCTCGACAAACCGTAGCTCGAGGTTTCGGCTGAATGGATTCAAAAGTTACTGGAGGAATTTCTAACGCAAAATGAATCCTGCCAAAAAGATACCTTGCAGGTAAGGAGATCACAGCAGTCTCCTTCGGCACACTCGGCATTCTCCGTCAGACGGCACGTCTTTCCATCACAACAAGAATGTGAGCACTGTTCGCGTCCGCAGTCACATTCCTAAAGGAATGAGTTACCTTTTGGGAAAAACCCCAATAGTTTCCTTAGTAGTATCACTGCAACTTTGCAGTGCAGTCTAACTGGGTAAAGAATGGGAAGTAAGATACTACAGAAGAAGGTCAACTCTCACAAATTGCACCATAGCTGTGTTGGCTACTACTCGAGATGGGAGATGCATCCTCTGTTTCAAAAACCAGAAGCGCGTCGAGTGCAGACCACACACCACAAGTGACGACGGCCTCCACAAAATGTAATGTTTTCTGCCAATGAAATGATTAGCCTGTTGCATTCATCAGTTGTCACTAATTACAACTATCATTTACCAACTATCAGCTATCACTATGAACCACTAGTTACCAGATTTACTTGGAGGCCGTCGTCACTTGTGGTGTGTGGTCTGCACTCGACGCGCTTCTGGTTTCAAAATAGAGTAAGTACTAAGGTACTACGGTACTGCTGGGCCAGCAGCATACGCTTAGCGGGCTCAGAAAAAGCCCCCTTCCATGGTTCCAGTACATGCCCCTGTAACACGAGAAAAAACTCGAAAAGGTACCGTGTCCTTAACGACTTTCCTCGTCACACCGCGATGGGCTGACTGCTACGGAAAGAGGATTAGAATGTTAATATGAGCGATTCCCCTACCCATCCCCGGTGTGACCTTCACCACAATCGTCTATCGCATGCATGGGACACGAGAAGAATGGCAATTACATTCTGCGGAATTGAGCTTCGCCCTAAAGAATTCTTGTAGAAACAAAGAAAGCACAATCTAATTACCTCTCCAGCCTCTACGATGCCGTTTCCGCACTTTGTACCACCGACCGTCTTCTCAGGAGGATTCTTCAAACAAAGATCAACACCACGATTGAAACTGTTGTAGATGTAACGCAGACTACAGTCCGACCAGAACGTTGGTGGTGTCATTCTGAACACAGAATTTATTCAGTGATCTGATCGTATCCGGATACTCAACAAGTAGCGAACCCTGTGGATGGTGCCATAACACAATGATTTCCAGGGCAATTGCAAGTCGTCCCATAGTCAACATCATGTTCCATTCCAAAATTGTGACCCATTTCGTGTGCAACTGTTGCTGCCACTATTGCGGCGTTCGGACTGTGATCCTGAAAATGAAACCCTTCGAGAAGACGGGTATTCTTGTCTGCGATTAGTCATCTTCAGCAATGTATTGCCAGCCACATGAATAGGTGCAACGAACCACGTCAACACCTCCTGAATAGTCATAGGAACACATTGTTCCCTTGAACGCTTTGCCAACAACATTCTGCTCGAAATGGATGTCCCTGAAGATTTGAAGATGTGAATCAGCAATTAGTGAGTCATAGGGCAAAACAATTTTACAATAAGGCTGATGTCAGAGTCCGCGATTCGTCGCGGATTTGCGCGAAACGCAAAAGTCACAAATGCCCCATTTGAACATTAGAAACACTGAATATGAAACAAGTGGAATCATCACAGTAATGAGTCAACCATCACCATAAAGCAGAAATGGTGGCGGGATTGGAGAACA